CTATTTTTAAAAACACACACAGACACACACACACACACACACATACCATGACAGACACACACACCCCATGACAGACACACACTACCATGACACAGACAGACACACACCATGACACAGACAGACACACACACACACCATGACACAGACAGACACACACCATGACACAGACAGACACACACACACACCATGACACAGACAGACACACACCATGACACAGACAGACACACACACACACCATGACACAGACACACATAATTGCTACCTGTGTGCAGACAGCTGGCTCTTCTGGCGGCCGCAGAGGGAGCTGGGTGTTTTGTCTCTGCTCCCCAGCGTGCATCTTAATGAGACCGGGGCAGGAATATGACGTCATCTTCCGGCCCCAGTCTTATTAAGTAGCGCTCGAGGGCGGGGTAGCAGAGTCAGAACAGCCAGCTCCCTCTGCGGCCACCAGAAGAGCCAGCTGTCTCCCCGGCCCCAGGTGCCGACGGCCCACATGGAAATTTCCCGGTATCCCGGTGGGCCAGTCCGGCCCTGCTCCCAATGAAAAATGCTGTATTAAATGTGTGTATTCAAATTTTTGCAGTGTAGTTATCCTTTCAAATTTTATCTCTCACTAATGACCTACCATGGGATACATAACTTTATTTTATATAACAGAGGATAAACCATTGTCTACAAACTGCATTTAGATTTTTCTGTAAATATAAGAAAAATAAAATATGGTTCTCCCCTTGTGTCACACAGAATATTATGCCATTGGCACTGGGCTATAGGAATGTAGGAATGGATTGACAAAGGACGTTTAGTGTTGATACAGTTAAAATTAAATTAGCATGTTGGCATAGTGGGGGAATTGTGCCCTGCTTTGGGAAGTGTTCTCAAGCAGGACCATTAAAGTAGGCAGGGGCTTAGAGTGTCCTTTTAAATGGTGCTTTGCAGTTGGACAAACATTGATACAATTAAGAATGACTCTTCAAACAGCCTGCCAAATTATTCATTATAATGTTGGACAATGCCATACAGCAAGGCCTCACACACAGCTGAGCCACCTAGGAATCGATTTTTGGACAGTAAGTCAAATGCAGGTCAGTAGGAACAGACTTCCTAAGCCTCTAATTGTGTCTTGGAAAGCTGAAAGGCAGTGGCATCGAAATAGCGGCAGGTGCTTTATAAAGCTTAATTTAGAGGTGGAATTTATAGGATAACAGTGCGTTATTCTGTGCGTGGATCCAGACAGCACAGTGTTTTGGGTGAGCAAGCTCCTATGTAATTACAGTAAAAATATTTGTGTCTATTGTTGTCTGTACACTTAAAACTAAACTGGTAAGAGCCGCTTTACATTTTCTTTTTTGAGCTTCATAGAGCTACTTAAGATCGGGATCAGGATTTTGGAAGAAAACCCTTTATACTACTAGAGTTTCTAATCTGTTGTGAGATTAAAGTCTTTCTTGATTTCATCCCACATTTAATATTTCTAAACTCTCAACTTTTCCTCCCTTCTATCCACCTAGTTTCTGCCCATACCCTCATGTAAGTTTACACATTTTCAGTCTCTATTATTTAATCTGCCATGCTGTTAAAGAATTTCTATTAACAGAACGGTCTTGTCTCTTTTCCTGCTCTCTGCTTTCCTATATTAACCCCACCTTGAGATATTGAGATAGAAAAACCTATATCTTCTAAATGAAATCAGAGAATTCAACCAAATAAAGCAATGTTGAAATGATGGTCGCAAAAGCCATGAATGAGTTGGTTAGAGCAGTGGTATCATTGTCTTAAAACCAGGAAATGCAGGTTCAGACCACTGCCTCACCAGTAAGTGTTCCTGGGCAAGACACCTAGACAGAAGGACCGGTGATCGGGAAAAGTGAGCTCAGAGGATCTCTCCTGCCAGTCCATACAGAACCAGCACTATCCAAGCATGTGCCATGATGGGCCGATGGGGAGATTAACTGCGACAGTGTGAGCAGAGAGGACGACTTTTTCTGTGATGAGAATTGTAATAATTTAATTTTTCAGCATAATGTATGGCATTACAGCAAGAATAGCATTCTCAGTAACATGCAATATGTTAACCCTTTCAGTGTTACATACATAAAGGTAAGATTTTACTACACTAAAGGGGGCGGACATGGGGGCTATATAGTGTTTTTAACACTAAAGGTTCAGGAATACATGTTCTGCTACCTGCCACACTGTTTGTCATTCCTCACATTCTGTTTTGCCGCCTTGACGCCTATTTAAAGACCCTTTATTAATTGCCCTGTTGTGGTTTCCTCTTGGTTCCTGATCAGTGTGTTATTATTGTGAGTTTTCTGGTATTACTGTGTGCACTTCTGTAATCCTAACCTCAGCTAGTTTTATTGTTACTGTATACCTCTGTTCTCTCGATATCATTGTTGTGATTCGTTTTACTGTTTTGAAACACTAATATTTGTGCTCAGCGAAGTCTCTCGAGTAAAATAGTACTCCCCATGTAGAGGTTTTATGGTGAGTTGGAAAGTTACAGGGTAAAATATAGGGCTTCCGAACCAAATTCTCTGGACTTTTTGCCTGGGTTGTCAGGCAGGTCCCTTAATTTGTAATTAATAAAATGACTTAATTATGTAAAAATATTACATAAATATATATGTAGAATTTAAACATATATATGTACGTATATATGTGTATATATGTAATTTTGTCCAATTATTTTTATTTATATATAGAGAGCGAGAGAAATATATACAAATATATACAAATATATATAGCAAAATCCAAATAGGTTATGGTGGGGAAAAATTGTGATTGAAAACCCCTTCCACCTGAAGTCTGTGGATAATTAATTCAATGTTAAACAAAAATCTGCACACCAGTCAAGCCATAACACTTGCTTTTCCCACATAATTCCCAAAACTGCGGCGATGTTACAACCGCAAATGATTCTGGGTGAGAATATGCAAATTAGTTTAACAAGGAATCACATTTTTGCCTCATTCCATTTTAAACATGGATTCCTTTTAATCTGTGTTTGCTGTATACAAGGAAAATATGCAAAACCAGTGAACTACTCATGGACAGCTGTTTAGTTGTTAATGCAACTCATCAGCATGAGGTTGGTTACTGGTTTGCTTATTGAGGCTTGGTAGTGCTTGGGAAGCAAAATCCAAATAGGTTAAGGTGGGGAAAAATTGTGATTGAAAACCCCTTCCACCTGAAGTCTGTGGATAATTAATACAATGTTAAACAAAAATCTGCACACCAGTCAAGCCATAAGACTTGCTTTTCCCACAGAACAACCAGTAACCAACCTCATGCTGATGAGTTGCATTAACAACGAAACAGCTGTCCATGAGTGGTTCACTGGTTTTGCATCTTTTCCTATATTGTGTTTGAAGCTGTTGTATACAGCAAACACAGATTAAAAGGAATCCATGTTTAAAATGGAATGAGGCAAAAATGTGATTCTTTGTTAAACTAATTTGCATATCCCCATCCAGAATCCTTTGCGGTTGTAACATCGCTGCAGTTTTGAGATTTCTGTGGGAAAAGCAAGTCTTATGGCTTGC